ATATATATATATATATATATATATATATATATACCGGCCCCTGAGACAATCTAGCTCTGTAACTGGCTTTGGGGTCTGGGCCCTCTACTGAAGCTGTTACCCCTGCGAAGAAGCGGAAGAAGATGGATGGATGGAAACAGTGACTCACTCACTAAAATCCAGATCGGCCATGCTAATTTGAAACTAGCAAGCAGCAGAAAGAAGCGCCTCCTATTTGATGACACTGAAGCAAAAGGACTGCAGCCTATTGCCTCCCATGCAAATTGCTGCCTATATGTCTGGTGAGTGACAGCACCCAAATGAGTGACTTTGTTGCTAGAAATATGTTTTATGAAAATGTGCCATTAGAGAATGCAGGTAATGCTGGTAACTTCTTTTTTTGTTTTACATACATATGCAATAGATAAAAAATAAAAAATTAAATGTATTTATCATATGTAACTATAACTATTTATTTATCCTAAACCTGGTGTATCTTGTTCTTTTCTTCCACAGTGATTGTTGTTGTTTCTTATTATAATAGGATTTGAAAATATTAGCACAACAGAGAAAATCAGCAGCCATAGTCTTATTAATATAAAGGAAATAGAATAACCTTTTCTACTTATTTCCTCTTAAGTAAATACAATTGGGGAGTGTTGGCATAGTGGTTCGAGCAGTGCTGAGAAGGTTGCAAATACCCAGTTCGTTCCCCATCTTGGTCTCTGAACAAGACCCTTAACCCCAAACTGCTCCCTGGGCACTGCACAGTGACAGCCCACTGCTTCACAAGGGGATGAGTTAAATGAAGAGAGTTAATTTCTCCATTGCGAGATCAATAAAGTTCAATTTCATTTCTGTTAAACATCTTTAAGCCCAGTTATGGTAATGGAGAATGATTAATACTCAAGCAGATGATTGTTTACCTGTGTCATATTATCATGATCTGGCCTGTTTGCTCCTCCTTAATTGGAAATTTCTTTCACCTGCAGTTTTCCCTCCCTGCCTCAGTTATAATGTCATGATCATGGCGCAGATGGTTTGGTTTCTTCCTTTGCTCCTTGCTCTCCTGTTCTGCGGCTGATTATCGCCGATCATTTCCACCTGGTTCCTGTACTATTTAAGTTGTGTTTTTGCCTCCCATCAGCGCCAGGTTATTCGAGTGTTTTGGTGAGACGTTTCCTGTCAATCTTTAGTCTGTCTGTTTTCCTGATTTTGACAAGTTTCTGCCCTGAGGATCTCGAGTTATGCCTTGCCCCTGTCTGCTCTGTTTGTCTTATCTGATCTTGGATTCTACCGTCTTCTGAAGCTGGAACTGTCTTCTGACTTCGGCCTTGGATTTCCCTTCTGGACTCTGTTGCTGCTCGGCGTCGGCTGGCGCCCGCTCCGCTCACTCTCTAGGAACTCTGGGGGCGTCGCCCGCCACATCCGCGGTCAAACCTCCCTCCTGGACTCTGCTGTGTTCTCCGCAAACGGACTGAAATTTGAATCAGGCCAGTGACTAGCTCCAAGTCGTATTCAGCGCCACATCCAGTCACTGACCTGTATTCTCCTATCCCTGCTGAGATCCGCCCCGCAGCCGAGGAGCAGCCCGCGCACCTGTTTGTTTAATAAATGCTTTGAACTTTCCCACTTTCTGTCTCGCCTTGAATTCTGGGTCCAACTTCCTAAGATCATTACATATTATTTATTCCTCTCACCTGTTTCCTCTGTTTTATATTCTGTTCAGTCTGAGCATTCAGGGCCAAATCACCTATTTGTCTTTCTATTAGTCTGTTTAACTGTTTTGCTGTTAACCTGTCTGTGCAGTTTATTTCTTGGTTCATGTCCTGGATCCTGGCAGGCAGTGGAAAGAGGGTTTTGTGTTTGTCTCGTCTCTTGATCGTCCACTGTTTCTCCCCCGCTGAGTCCTCTGGGTTTTTGGCTCTATATGTGGGGAGGTTCAGTTTTTATCCCAGTAAGCCTGGCTCCAAGGAGGAGACCAGTTTAAAGGTCCTTCATCAAGTTCTAGTTCCACGTCCTGTCTATTCTACCCTCTGCCACT